CACCACTTCCAGCAGCAACCTTAGTTTTTCCCAGGAGGTCTCCCATCCAGGTACTGACCAGGCTCACACCTGCTGAGCTTCAGTGGGTTGCCAGTTGTGAGTTGCAGGGTGATATGGCTGCTGGCCATATCCTGTAGGTCCTAATGCCCCACTATAGTGACGGGGACTATACTGTAAAAAGGTGCCATCCTTTGGATGAGACATAAAACTGAGGTCCTGACTCACTGTGGTAATTATAAATTTCACGAAACAGGACATTTCACAAAAAGAGTAGGGGTGTAATTATTATTATCTTTCTTTTGGGGGGGACATTGTGAAGATGAATGTGTTACTCACAAATAAAAAAAACATTCTAAAAAAATAAAATTCCAGGCAGTGAGATTCTTAAGTGTGATAAAAGGATAGGGGCAGAATATGTTTTCAAGAAAATAAAGATTTTTTTTTTTAAAACAAGGGTTGAACTCAAAATGTTGTAATAAAATTGACTCTCTTTTTCACTAGCCAGTCTTAAACACAGCTAAGGTGATCACTAGAGCTATCCCACTCCTTGAGTTTCTCAGTAAGTTCAGTGTTCATTCAGCTAGTGCAGAAACACAGGAGGCTGTCCATTTAAAATTAATGTGGCTACTGAAACATTGCAGAGAAAAAAAGGAAATAGATCTAATTTGGAGGAAGGAGGCCAGGCAGACGACAAATGTAAGAAAAATGGCATAAAGAATGTCTCTCCATTTATCTCAGAGGCCCTCACGATGCAGACTAGACCCTTTAGCTCCTGGTATCTCTCACCTCATTTCACACTGACATGTAACTCTTGCTTCGAAAACAGCATAGTTTCCTTCGTACTCTACTGCTCAAAACCAAATGTTATGGGGAAACTTTGCTTCTGAACATGCACAAACTGGAGGACTGTGGCAGGTTAACATTGTGTCCTTTGTTTTTGGCAAGTATGCATTCAGAACATTAGAACAGAAGAAAGTCCAAATGGCCTCCTCTCACTTGAAACATATTGAGGTAATTTAGCAATTAGTTAATTGAAGGAAGCCAGGTTATCAGGTTATCAGCTTCAAAACCATGGGTTGGTATTCCATACTCACACAGTCTGCTCTTGCATTCAAATGCACTTCCAAACAATTTGTACTTGTGTCCTCTACTTCGGATTTCATTGTTTACTCTCAAGAAATCTCTGTGTAGACTCTGTCAGTGCTTTCGAGGATCTTGAACACTTGCATCAGGTTCCTTCCTGGTCTTCTCTGTTCAAGACTAAAAAGGCTCAGTGCCTTCATCCTGTCAGTGTAGTATGTTCCTTCGAGTCCTTTAATTCACATGTGCAAGGCTGTAACATCAACAAAGTATAAAGCTAACAGTCAATGCAGTCAGGCACCAGTGGTCATAACACAGACAGTGACAGTCCAGGTCACAAATTTGCAGGAAGGTGAAAAAAATGTCACTCATCGTCTAACTTACAGTTGGTGATTGGAGATCTTGAGTCACGGTATATTTTTACTCCAACATGTTTAGCAGTATGACTTTACATGTTCCAGGTTTATAATAAGGACAGCACTGAAATCCTTAGGCAACCACAGAAGGGAATGTTATGCAAAATGCCAATTAGAAGCTATTTCTGAAGGTAAATACTCCCTAGCCATAAGTTTTGAGTAAAAAAGAAATAGTTTTCAAAAGCCTGAACTGGCTTCTTTCAAAACATACAAAGCATTTCCATCTTTGAAGAAGCAAAGCCATTTTTTGAGTCTACTTAAGATGAAAAAAAAAACCTTCTTAAATGTTTTCTGTATACTTAAACTGTGCCAAAACCTGAGCATAAAAGTGTGATCTAGACAACTAGTCCTGTTGGTTTACTCTAAAGTGAATAAATGTCAGCCCTACAGATTGTACCAGTAAATTATGAGGCATTAATCTGTGTCATGAACATGTGTTATGACTACATTTACACCACCTTAAATCCAGAGGAAATGGTTGAAAGAAGACTGCTAATGCATTACACATAGGACAGATTCCATCTCCCTCCATGGTGAACAAAATGTGTTTTATACTAGAGGAGACGGTGTCCCATTTTGCCTCGGTTTATTGCCATTATCCTACACTGTCCTGTTCACAGCAAGTCTCACTATTCTCATTTCAAGTTTCAGGTAACATCATCTACCGTATGAGCAGCAGAGGTAAAGGAATTCTTTGTAAGTCTGAAGTGAGAAAAACAACCTGCAAGAATTATGCAACAGCTCTGATCCACATCTGAGAACTATAGGTCTGTGCTGTTTTTCACACCAGCTGTGACATTACTCCTGCATTCTTCAAGGAGTAAGAGCAAACATCTATATAGGAACCCCTATATAAAAATATAATATTTTTTGACAATCCCATTTGATCACTTAAATTGTGTTTCAAGTCATTATACCTCTACTGTTCTGGCTCCAGCTTATTCTTCAGCATTTGAAATTCTGCTCAGTTGGATTTAAATCTGGAAACGGACTTAGCCAATCTAACATTTTCCACCTGTTTTTCCCGATTCTCCTTGGTTGCACTGGATGTATGTTTTGGGTCACTGTCATGCTGCATGGTAAAGCGCCGCCCAATCATTATAGCAGCATTTTCTTCTACATCAGGAGATAAAATATTTCTGTACACTTCATGATTCATTCTGCTGTTGCCATTCACTCAAATATTTTTTGTTTTCCAGATGCAGGAACCTATTAAAACTCTTAAACAGCAAGATTGCTTTTTTCTCCATAACTGTTAATTGAAGCTCATTTCTTTAAAGAGGAATTTGTTTCCATATCCAAGATCACCAGACCCTGCTGACACTTACCTTTTGCACAACGTCAGTATATACTTAGAGGGCCGTTTGCTTTAATAGGGAACAAATCAACTGAAGCTCTCTACCCTCTCTTAAAAAAAATCCTTAAAAAATGAAAAAGTCATAGAATCAATACAAGCCGAAAAAAAAGCAGGGCCCTTTTCCATCACCGAAAACACTTGCTCCCCTGGCACCACTGACACTCAGAACTGCCAAATCTACAACTCCAATGCCTCCTCCTTTCACTCTGGAGGTCACCCAGGTGATTCACAAGCCGTGCTGTGGGACCTCAGAAGGCAAATCAGCTATGTTTTAAACTGGTGCGACACTGAAAAGTGCCTCTACTAAAATTAATGCAAGAACCTGGTTTTAGCTCAGGCATGGTCACTCAGCAGAAATGAACTGCTGGCCAGCCAATCTTTGAAAATAAGCGCAGGTGAGCCACTGAGAGCCCATAGCATGCTTGGCTCTTGCTACAGTATGTTCTGTTTCCAGTTTGGACTTCAAGGCAACTTAAGATTTAATAATAAATCTTAAATTACAAGTTAATTATAGTAATCAGATGAAAAAAATCTGTGAATGGAAAGAACGACCGTTGCATAATATTTCACTCGCTTAAGTGGCACATTTCAGAATTACAGGTAATTGTAAAAATTGTCGTGCGATGTAAGATTAGATAGAGTGGTCTAACAAATTGCAGGTTAAATTAAATGTAAAAGGCACGTTATGCTTTGGGCAAGTGCAGGAAATAGTGCACAGAATAAAAGTGCAATAAAGTTCTAGTAGTCAACGTGCAAAACTGACAATCAGCAAAGAAACTTTGGAACAGATCTTTTGCAGCACATAACTTTACACTGTCATGCTGATTCTAATAGGCAGCTTGGCATTGTAAATCAATGGATACGTCATAAAGATAAATAAAGTTTTCACCCTTTTAAGAAGTTTTTTTCCCAACTTGACAGAGTAGTAATATATTAATTATCCAAAGACAGGGAGTTTAGGATCATTATCTTTGCTGCCAATTGCTTGGCTGAGTCATAGCAGGATCCAACTAAGACATAATATATAGATATTGCTGCAAGCAAGTCTGACACCCCCCCGAGAGAACTCATGCTTGCATACCCATAAATCTTATAAAACCAAGCAATTAAACAATTGCACAACAACATAAAAGCTTTAATCAAATAAGAATGTTGATATGTTAGCGATTATTTAAAAAAAATACTTGGAGTAGTGCCCAAGAAGGCATCAATGAATGTTTACGGCGTCATTAAAGCAAAATTTGTCATGAACACATCCTGACAACGTGGTAGATCCATGAAAGGAAGAGGTCGGATTCACTTAGTCCAGGATTGCTGACTTCATCGACACATGTAGAAACACCATGCTGATAAGCATCAGCAGTAATGTTTCTTTAAACAACATTAGAGCTAAGGTCCATGTAAATGCAGAGACCTGGGTTACACTCTCCAATTCAGCACAACATCATTGTTTTCTAATTTTTGGCATTAGCACAGGTATAGCATAACTTGATCTCTTTATAGAAAGGCGAATTCAAATGTTTGGCACAAAGCAAAGCCAATATGCTATTTAATCTGTGCAAAAACAGTGAAGACGTTTAAATCACATTAGAGTAATAGGGTGACAGAAAATGACCTGAAGGCTAAGAACAGAAGGCTGAGCCTTGGCAGAGAGCGATGAAAAGTCTTTGAATCCGAGCACTGTTACCTATTTAAGAAGCAAAACAGCAGCATTGGTATTCTTGAAAGAAGTTCTCTCCCTCAAGGAAGATGTCAACAACGACCCAGCCATGTGGTGAGGCAGGCAGAGAAACACTCAGACTTTGGAAATCCGATCTCCAGCTCCCGAACACTTTCCAGTAAAGTATGTGCATGGCTTTCATTAGTGCACTGCAGCCTGTGCGGGGAAAAAGTTTTGGGAAAAGTCTCGGCAAGAAAACGGCTCACTCACCGAATTTGCTACTTCGATCTCATACGACTTCTGAAAGGTGTAGCGATCAAAGAAGACCAGCTTGCCATTTCCCTCTCCCTTCTTCACTGATGTGCCTGTCATCAGAAGCTTGTCATCAGGACTGAAACAGCAATCGGTCCTGGGAAAGCACAACATTTTCTTAGGTGAACAACAGCAGGCATAGACCAGCAACAATCCATTACAATGGAAGGATTATTTACTTTGTCTAATAAAACACACACTGTGAAGGAGATTCCCGAAAATCCCATCTGCAGGGTTTTTTAACATGAGTGATTTTCTACAACACACACATAGTGTTATAGTAGTTACCACAATTTCCTCACACATACAGAGCACTGGGCTCAATTCCAGCTTGGTGGGAACGTCTATACAGAGTGTGCATGTTCATCTGGAACTTTGCCAGGTGCTACAGTTTCCTTCCAGCTCCCAAAGACTAGCTGGTAAAGACTGACAGCCTGTGAAAAACTCTTGTTCCAGGGGGTGGGGTGGGGATTTCATATATAGATGGGTTTGTTCCCATTATAACCAGATCTGCCAGTGAGACTAGAGAAACACTATATATTGAGCATGTGGCCTGAATGCTCTTCACTCAACTGTGGCCTTTCTGATGTTATAATAACATCGCAATAGATGTGTATATTAGAGTGTTTAAATTTGCTATTAGAGAACAGCACTGTAACCATTGTCATCTCAAGGTAATAGGAATGCTTTAAATTAAAGTTTGGACTTCATCCTGTCAACCTGAAGAAGAGCAGAGAAATGCAGAATCACCTTGACAGGCCTTAAAGAGACTAAGTTGATTTTGGTTTTCCTTACTAACATAACCTCTGTTCAAAACTGTATTTTTAATCTAATTCTGAATCAACTGATTCATCAGTGCCAAAAACAAGTTATTTGAAAGCTTCAGAGGTATTAACTATTTACTTGACTCCTAACTCAAAAGGCTTGTTTACACCTGTCTCATCAGTGCAGCTGGTTGAGCTGGTCTACAGCCCCTACTTCTATTGGAAACATTTTCTACTTCCAGTGCTTACATGGGAAAGAAAGTAGACAACCCAGTTGCTACATTGAGAGGCTTCTTAAAGTTCCGGATGTCCCACGTCTTGAGAGTGTCATCTCCTGTCCACCAAAAAACAAAAGGGCAATGTAAGAGCAATTTAACAGATACTTTACATTTAAACAAAAGACATGGTACTGCAGAAAACTAGAGCAGAAACTGCCCTTTCCAGCTTTTTAGATTTGGGTCCTGATTGGGTCCTAAGAAGGATTTTTAAATGAGAATTATCTGTGGAAGAGAGGAATCAGAGGGCTTATATAAATATTACTTATTTAATTTATAAATATTACTTATTTATTATTCACTTATTACTTTAGGAAATAAAAATGACAGAAAAAATAATGTGCCACTGTACACTGTACCTCAGTGTTCTAAACTAAACGTTTCAATGCAATTCCAAACTGCTGCTTCCCCAGTAATTGTGTGTTCAAAAGATTCTTTTAAACAGAGGGTTTTGTGCAGCACTTACTGAACATATGGGAACTAACAGCCCCAGGTATAAATCCTTGTTTTATGAAGGAAAGACAAATCGTCTATAAATATGTAACAGCCCTCTGCCAAACCGTACATGAACTGTGCTTGTCTGAATATTATGTTAAACTTTCTTTTTTTGTTTTTGGTATGTGGCAGGTTTTCTTGGGTTCTTAACACGATGAAGAGCAAACAGCAGCATATGACATCACTCCTTTGCAGGTGCTGGCACAGCTGTTTATGTAACATGTCTGCACTTTTTTCCCCCCGTTATTCACATCCTTCAGCTGCTGCTCCTTGCAAAGCTGCTGTCTGTCAGATGTCACTGTACGCTACTGTCCAGAATCCCAACAAATACAGGTGCAAGAACCTGCATCCAGCTACACAGAAAGGAGTTTTCCTCAAAGCAAAAGGCTGAGGGAGAGACAACAGTGTCAGGAATAACCCCAATGCTCAACTGCAACTCTTTGCTCACTGTCACCTTGAAAAGGGGCAAGGAAAACTTCAGTCTCATAAAACTACAGGCACAGCGCTCAATTTCAGCAATATGGGTATGTGTAGTGTTGCATTTTTTACAGAGCAACAGCTGTGGCTTCTGACGCAGATAGTGCTGCTCACAGTCCATCTGATGCAGCTTCACTGATCCTCTCACTGTGGAATAAAGACAGTCACTTTCTACCTGGCCAGATCCAACTGGGTGACATAAGAATGTATGGTTCCCAGCTGCTTCATTCTGGGAGAGGGGGTTCAGGGTATTCTCACCTCCTCGGGATGCCAGGACTGTGCCATCATAGGAGAAGGACAGACAGGAGGTGTCCGATCCGGGAGTGTGGGCCTGCCGGCAGTGGAACTTGGTGTGCACCTGTAGCAGAAAACACGAAGGCTCAGGTCGCAACAGCGATGTAATGGGCAAGAGGGTTTACAAAAATAAGAAAATTGGAGATATCCAATGCTTTGTTGATTTCACCTTGAAAAGGGGTTAATGCTGATATATTTGTGTTAAAAGAGGCAGCCAAGCAAAGAGGGTGGCCAGTAAACAGGCAGGGAAATAAAAACAGGAAGTGAGTCGCTACTTGAGTGACAGCCTGCATTAACAGTTGATGAGCACAGGTTGGCAAATGGACAACAAGCTCTGCACCAAAAGAGATTAAAAAACTACCATTTATTGTGATATATTCATCATGCTTCCTAACAAATTACTTATTTTTGCCAAATGATACAGGTACTGTATGTTTATAAAATAAGGCATTACATTTGCGCTAAAAGAAAATTAAGAATACCAATTGGGATATCAGCTGTTTCTTGTGTTTGGCTGTCATCAATCGCTATCATGTCAAGCACTGCTGAGTCAGCTACAAGGGGGCAACGAGAACTTAAAGTTAAGGAAAACTTCCATTTCCTAATTTTCTTGGCAGGATAACCTAAAGTAGGGCATTTCGGAATTAAAGGGCTGTTTGCAGAACACATCATTTAAAATTTTTAATCTATAAAAGGGATATTTATCCTTTCAGAAAAATAGATTAAAGGAATTAATAGGTGGTAAATCTCAGATTTAAGAGTGAATTGTTGCCCATCACTATGGAGCAGGGGAAACTCCCACAAGATGTCTCAGGGTCAGACTCAAGGGCACTTCAGGTTTTAAGGGTGCATAGGTTTACAATGTGACTAATATGAAACTTGAAGATAATCACTTTGGTCCAATCAGTAATAAATCTGTTAGTCCTTTCACAAAATCCCTTAAAAAAATGGCCAGTGATCTAAAGAGTGAAAGTCTTAGTACGGAAAAAGATGAGGATTACACAAACAAATATTAGTCTTAATTGAAATTTAAAAAGCCAATAATTATGAAAATGAAATGAACACAGAGAGGAAAATAATCACTGGAACTCTAAGCATATTACCGACGACAAACAGATGACACATGAAAACTATAAAAAACACAAAATATGAAAAAAATCGTCAAAAAGCTTCATTCAGTATCATTTACAGATTTGGCCACTGCCACAGCAGAAAGCCAAACTGCTGAACTGGAGATGACTCTTAGGTTAAAAGAACAAAAAGGTTCTTGAGAAAGTTCTTAGAAATAGACAACACTGATCAGGCTTGTTCTCTCGAAAAAAGTAAAGCCCCAGTTAGCTTCATTCATTGGACAATTTAAGTTCAAAGATACTGATGCTTTTTGAAAGGAGACTTTTGGGAAAACCTGTACATACATTTTGTTGGTTTAACCTTTGCTTGGGCATGCTGCCAAAGAATGCCTTTGTTTTCCAATGACTGTGACATAACAATGCTGCATTCCTAAACCACTTAAGTGTTATGCTACAGCTACACACATGTTCTAACGGATAAGAAAACATTATTAGTAGTAAGGCAGTTAAAGGAGACTCCAGAGAGGCAAAATTTCCAGGGATTTTCAGAATGTCCATCTAGCCTGGAGGTTCTCAATGCAATGCAACCCACTTCTTGGTAATGCCAGCACATCAAATGGTGCCTTTTCAGTAATTCCACCCATCCCTGTCTGAAGCAGCTTTATGTAAGCGAATTTCAGATTAAGGAATAAATCGAATACCATTAACTGAAACATGTCGTGTTTATAATTGAAAAGGGAAACCTGTTTCCATGTCATCACAACACTGAAAACTGAACAGCGTACTTTTGGGATGTATTCCTATCATTAGGTAGCAGAATTATCCAAGCACCCAAAAGGGAATGTAAACTAAGTTTAGATGGTCTTGAAACACGTTAGCTTTACCTTACTGATGATGTGTTGCTGTAATAGTAAGCCAGCTCAGAACAAGAGAAACCACAGGTTCGGACATGTGGTGTCTGTGCTTGGCGGAGAAGCCAAAGGTGTGAAGCAGCCATCTGTGGGATTGACTGAACTCCGCTTAGTCAGAGGCTCCCTAAGGTCCTCAAACAGGGATGAACATTCAGACAAGTTAGAGGTCCTGAAGATCTTGATGCTACAATGACTACTATCTGAACAAGCACCTTTAAGTGTGTTATCAGCTGGGGCGTTCCGCGTGCATCATGGAAACAGGGAGCTTACTTGTTTGATAAGATCTGAGGATCTCAATCAGCGGTTTGTTGAAGAGAAAGGCTTCAACAACAAAGCCATGCAGCTTGCTACAGACATCCACCTCCCTTTGTACAAAAGAGTGCCTTCTGCTTTCCATCTTAAACATGAAACACCATAACGTATATTTAACAAAATCCCTGTATAGCTGGGGCAAATATATTTGTACAAATATTCCCAAATAGAAAAACTGAAGATTTAAGAGGAGCTGTTAAACCTGCCGGACTGCTACTCTCTGAAGAAGAAGTGCTCAACACCCCAGCTATAGGCACAAGGGACCCATTAACAGTGCTTCAAATTTCCGGCGTTTATACGCGATTGTTTTTGGCAGCTGGAAAATTTTAAGAAGAGAAACTGGTACTGACCAGAAGGGGGAAGTTAAGAAGAGGAAAAGCCCCATTTGTTTATGACAGTGGTGATGGCCTGAAAGAGAGACAGAGTGAACGGATGTGCCTCTGTGTTTAGACTGGAGTGAAGAGAGGGATGGGGCCTTTCTACGTGTACTGATGGAAAGATCCACAGACAGTGTGGGACAGCTACAGAAACTTGCCTCCTCTGTGTAGCTCTCCAAGACAGAGGAGTCACAAGTGCTCCATAAGGAGGAGATGTCAGATGCTGCCTAGAGATGTGGGAGGTCAACAGATCAGAACAGTGAATTAAGATCTATGTTGTTTATCAATTAATATGAGATTTACAAAAAGATTAACTTGCAAGATTAAGCTTGAGTTTATTAGGAGCTATGAAATTGGAAAATGTGAGATACTTAGCTAAAATCTGGTTTGTCTCTAACAAAGACTGGTGCCTACAGTATGTTTTGAATAATAGTGGACATTCGATAATCCCGACAGAGATACAGAGAGAGTCTTTGTTGTTTTTCCAACAACAATTTTATGGCGCTGGCCAGCTTATCAACTGAGAATGCTGGAGAGGCGTACTGTATAAGACAACCACAGCAACAGTATTTCAGGAAGTGAATTTGTGTATCAAATCTCCTGCCAATCCAAGACACTGGAATTTCAAATTCATTTATAACATTTGTTTTGCACATTTCTAATGGTGGCATCAGTGGTCCCATAGTTTCAGGCTGGGTGCACAATCACCATGTGACAATTTGAAGCACACAATGTATTTTGCTTGCAGGCATGTAAGTGCTAGACAAATCAATCCCTCAAAAAGGCCTTGTGCTCATTTAATTTACTTTCATCCAGGACAAATAGCATGAAGCCCATGAGCACGGGACAAAGGAAACATCTAATAGGACCAAATAGTAAATGTCCATCAGGAAAGGGAAATTAAAATACAAAAACAAAGAGAGAGAAGGAAAGTAAAAGGATAAGGAAAAAACAAGGAAGACAAAAAAGAAATGTGGGGGAGTGCTGTGTACAAAGGGGAAATTAATTTTTCATACTCATATGCAATCTTCTTTAGAATCAACTGTAAAAATTAATCAGGGAAATGCCCAGAAACAACATGGAAGTGCATACAACCAAAAGCATAATCTTATTTTTATTTTGGGGGGGATTAATTAACATGAAAACAATTCATAGTATAAACTTACAAACAACAAACTACAAAGAAAAGAGCATATTAACCCCCCAATATATTGGTAAAACATACAGCACACTGAAATGCATAGCAGAACATAAATATTTAATATTTACTGACAAACAAGATTTAGGAATTGTTTCCACACGTGAGGCAGAAGGAAATGTTACGGTCTAATTAAGGATCAAACATTTAATATTGCTGTGTGCAGTCCCCAACACTCTCTAGAGCTTTACTCTGTGGTGTGGCAGAGAGATACTGCACTGAGTCTAATGGGGGTGAAGGAGGTATTGACAGCCATGAGCTGTCAGGCCTAGTATCCTGTTCTTCTGCAGTTTCACTACTGCCACTCCGCTGCTGACCTCTGGGGGGGTCAAAGAACTGAGGGTGGACACAGTGACCCTTATAAAATACATTGCACTGTCAGCTCATTGGGAAGCACTGCAGAAATTAGGCTGACTTGTTTATGAACTGCTGCACCGAGAGAGAAGCCAACGATTAGAAGCCATCCTCATGAAGTGCTGTTCGGTATTGACAATACTATCAGGACAGTGACCAAAAATAGCTGACCCGAGGCAATGAGAATTCTGGAAGGTGACCACAGGTCAGAGACTCCAGAGCAGCTGTGTTTGAGCCTTTCTAACCCCAATTACACTCATTCAGAAAAGTGTCGCTGCACAAGGTTGGTTCTTAATGAGAAGTTTGAAAATAGAAGTATTGATTTGTACATAAACATTTACGTAACCTCACCTCTGAAGCATCTTAAGGGGCATGACCCCTGACTAGCAGATGTAAGCAGTGGTATATTATAGGGATTGGTTTTAGGCTTGTTCCTCCTCCTGGTCTATATCAATAGTTGAGATTCTGACATAGTTAGCAACTAAGGTACATTTCAGATGATGCAAAAAGATGAAGCAGCAAGTGGGATTACAAAGTGACAGAAATTCATGGTCACACAATTTTCAAATGGTAATAACAATGGTGGTAGGAACGCACTATGCACCGCACATGGGTGATACAGAGCTGCAGGAGGTTGCAGATTAAAGGCATCTAGGCAATTATGTACATTCTTCTAAGTCCTTATGAAGACAATGTGGGGAAGCAATAAAGAGCAACCAGAATACTTGGGCATGTAGAAATATAATCAAGGTAATTTATGCTCAAGCAAGACAATACATTATTAAGACATTTATAATATATTGTATGCAGTTTTGGTCACCAAATCATAAAGAGGATATTAG